TGATTAGGGTTTAGGGTTTATAACTAAGTTTCAAGGCTTGTTGTTAGGGTAAATACTTTATTACAACGGCATAGGGTTGCTTACTAAGGTTTAGAACCTATTAGTAGGGTTTAGGGTTTTTAATTAGGGTTTAGGGTTTCTATTAGGCGTCAGGCTTTCTAATTAAGGTGTAGGGATCCTGACTAAGCTCTAGGGTTTAGGGTTTAGGGTTTAGGGTTTAGGGGTCAAACCCGCAGGGAAGATGCCTGTAGGATGAAATTGAACAAACTCTAAGTCTTGCAAACCAACGCCTGCGCGCGCAGCCATTGCACCTCCGTCTCCAGTGCAAGTGTGTGCAGAAGTGCAGCTCTGGTAAGCCCGCCCGTACCTGATACACCCCAAACCCTAAACCCTAAACCCTAAACCCTAAACCCTTAACCCTCAACCCTAAACCCTAGTAGACAGAGAAACGCTCAAGCAAGTTTAGGCAGAAGTGCAGCTTTTGTAAGCCCGCCAGTACCTGATATACCCCAAACCCTATACTCCAAACCCTAAACCCTAAACCCTCAACCCCAAACCCTAAACCCTAAACCCTCAAGCTGATACAAGCCGGGCACACCGAACTTGGAGGGGCCCCAAACAACAAACACTACATCCTAGATTCAACGAATGGAAACCCTAAACCCTAAACCCTAATGTCTAATCCGTAAACCCTAGACCCTAAACAATAGACCAGAAGCCTTAAACTTGAAACCCTAAACCCTAAACCCTAAACCCTAAACCCTAAAACTTGTGGCATCTTTTGCAGCGGTTGCATCTGGGTTCCCAAGCCTACGCGTTGCATCCACCCCCACAACCCACAACCCTAAACCCTAAACCCAAAACCCTAAACCCTAAACCCTTACCCTCCAGTGGCTAGGACTGTATGGTTTGTAGCGAATCTATGAATAGAGCCGTCTTCTAAACACATCGCAATAACACCAACACAGCGAGGGGCCCCTCCTGCTGCTGTCGGTGCCTCCATAAGGAGATCCAGCGCGAAGTATTCAACAAAGAAGTTGCACGAAAAAGATAAAGCCCGTCCGTATAAAGTGTGCAGCATCGCGTGCCCTGTAGACAAATCACAGCAGCAGCACCAGCAGTAGCAGCAGCAGTAGCAGCAGCAGCAATAGCAGCAGCAGCAGTAACAGTAGCAGCAATAGCAGCAGCAGCAGCAGCAGCAGCGGTAGAAAAGAAGGGAGAGCAAATATATTAAAGAAG